GCTAAAACTAGAAATGGAGTTGTAACATTGCTACTTAAGAGTTGCTTTAGGCTTTGGTTTACTTTAGTTTTAGCTTTAGACTCGGGCTTTTGGAGCACTGGCGCCTATGCCACTGGCGAGGAAAGGGAAAGGGGGTCCCCAGATCCGCCTATGCTAATATTCCACTTGTTTGGCAGTTGTCCGTTCGTTCTACTCTGTCCATTTTTCCAATTTCGGAAATTAATCTCTGTATTCAGGGCTGTACGTGATGCAGTGATGTCAAATCGGTATCGCGGTCGTATCGATGCATTTGTAACGTTGCACACTTATTCACAGATTTGGATTCATCCATACGGGCATCGCAAGGATACCTATCCTGGTGATGTGCAAGATTTGGTACAATTTAATTCTCAATATACGCGTCATTTATTGGATTCACATAGAAATTTTTTCGTTTTTAAGGGAAATAACAGCTGCTTGTTGAATTTGGAATATTTGTTGGAAAAATTAAAGGATATTAAGACCACCCGGGCAAACATTGTGAGTTTCTCACACTACTGATGTTACCGGGGTGCATCCACACGCCAGGCGCAACTATCCCTGGTAATTTGATCCTAGGTTGCATACCTCCAGTTAGTCTCCACAACCTGGAAGAAATTGTTGAATAATCGTACCAGGCGGAGTACGATTAAATTATGATAGTAAGAATGCGATAAGACGTTTATCCATATTCCGTTTAATATCCGTAAGCCGTTTGCTTTGTTACGGAGTTCGGATAAACGTCTTATCTCACTCTTTCCTTCTTATGCTGTTCTTTAATGCTGTAGTCTATCGTGCCTTCACCGTTTAGGCTTCCAGAGTCAAACTGATTGCTACAATCGCCTTTGAGCCTAATGCTCACTAAAAGCCAAAAAGAAAAACAGCAGCAATATTTACAAAGCAGGAAATTTATTTCAGTAATTATTGGGGACATTCCAGTAACTTCGCACCCGTCCTCACCGATCGTCCGAGCAGCTTTGGTATTCTGGTTAACTGGTGCACAGTTTCACCTTTATTACAACTTTTCATGCGTGAAAGCGCATAATGCCGCGAGGTTATCGAGAGATGTGTCTTTGTATGTGTTCGGAATTTGTCACCCACTTTCAACTTAGCAACTGGAGAAGCGATTTTCTAAATAATTTTTGTAAAATTTTCGTATCCTTGAAAATTTTCATAAAATTTTTGTACATTGCTTCTGTAAAGCTAGCGACGGCAAAAAACAGCTTGAAATAAACAGGCCAGCACAAGGCGCTAGGCTATGTGTCAGATGCGTTCTTGTAACATCGAAACCTCCAGACCGATTGGTTAAGCGATCTTAATTTGTCCCTGCTTCG